ACCATTGAACCACAAAAAAAAAAATCAACAGAAACATCCTTCTGTAGGATTTGGCAGTAAATGTTACCTGGTAAAAGATAGAAAAAATCTACCCAGAAGATTTCATAATAGATCACCACATAAGGATAAACATACCCTAGTGTACTGCAATTATGATTTATAGCCCATAAGTACAACTAATTATTATCATCTTTATGTAGATTCAATTATATCACAACGTAAATGTGACTTGATTATCACATAGTGTACTGCAATTATGATTCTGTAGTAATAGACAAATGGTAACGACCTAATGTAACTTGTTTATGACTATATGAGTGTGCATAATTATAGAATCTCCCCTTAAACTTAAGTCGGTATTTGTTTTAATCTCGATTTTTACGTGAAAACTCAAATATAAAATGAGCGGGTTAATTGCAAATTGTATTCTTAAAGATTGTTCAAATCTTAATTTATACCCTCAAAGATAAAAATTTGTATTAATGCGCACTTGAAACTAACAATCGTCAATTTGCCATTTAAAATTAAATGGATAAATTACACCTAGATTCTCTTATACTTGTCACTTAATCATTTGAACCCCTTTATATTTAGAATATGTCTCCTACAACTCCTAAAATTTGTGCACATATAACACATAACTTCTTATCGTTGATATCTGTTAATATAATAGTTTAAAAAATATGATTTCATCATAATAAAAAATTATAATTTCATATAATCCTTCATTTTATGGGCCCGTTAAACTCTAAAGTTCAAAATCAAGCTTATCATTTAAATGACCAATATAATGCAGGTATTTATATATTGTTCTTTATACAATACATCACTTAAACAAGATTCTCAAGGGATGTAGGTGTAATATTTTAAATGTGAGAGATTTAAGTGATTAAGTGACAAGCATGAAGGAGTCTAGATATAATTTATCTATTAGTTTTAGAAGACAAACTGCCGGTTGTTAGCTTGAGATACGCATTGATATGAATTTATATGTTTGAGGGTGTAAATTCAAATTTTTTATCTTTGAGGGTATAAATTGAGATTCGAATAATTTTTCGGGGTATAAATTAAAAATTTTGATCTTTGAGGGTATAAATTGAAATTTGAATAATTTTTTAGGGTGTAATTTGAGATTAACCCAAATAAACAGATTTATGCATAATAAATCTCTTGTTGGATCACTAAACTGATATGAGTTTGTGTTCATTGTTAATTTTGTTGTACATTCTCACAAATGGTAGTATTTTGCTGAAGAACATGTATCACCTCATAGGTGTCAACAGTACTGTCTAGTTTCAACAGGAGACTTGATGGCTAGCCCACATACTGATGCAAGGTGCATACTCTTGGACAGTCCAAAGTTTACAGCAGCAGAGAAGAAATTCAGAGGGCATCCAATGCCACTGAACATTTTGCTGGAGAAGCATAGCAGAGACTACCAAGCATTTGTCCATTGCAGAATGCTGTGCTCGATTGATGTTTGCTTTGACTATATATGTTGTCTCTGTAAACCAACCAGGTGCAATGAGAGAGAGAGAGAGATGGAGCTGAAGCTTGGGCTTGTTCTGATATGTTCAGTCAGTCCCCACTTGCATCTAGTTTGTCTATCTGGTGACATGACCTGATTGATTCTACTCTTAAATCATTGCTATGTTTGCCTTCGTTGTCTCCCCATGCATTTCTATGCCCCAATATTGGGTCTACCGTGACATCACATCATCACTCATATATAATGTCACAATGACATAACATCACAATTCAATAATAAACTTATACTTATAAATATTAGATGAATCTTATTTACGTAGTTATTAAATAACATGTCATGATCGTTATTCAAATATGTGAGATTCACTTATTTATTTGTTAAATTTTTATAGGATGGTGATATCATGTGTCAATGATGATGTAATATTATAATTACACACAATATTTTTTTCTTAAAATGGAGTAAATATTTTCAATGCAATGGTAATATCTTATCATCATTTTCATATAATATCACTAATTAATAATAAAATATCAAATAAGTAAGGTAAACCCAACTTAATAGTTATTGGGTAACATGAAATAAAAGTGGGTAGTTATTGACATAGTTATTAGTTTATGTGTGATCCACTTTTTTACTTATTTAAATATTATTATTTAGTGATATCTTATAATAATACTAATGTGGTATTACCGTTACATCGAATATTTTCTCCTTAAAATGGTAGTTTCATCACTCCCCTTCTCCTTTAGTTTCCATGACCAATTATTTCTCTCTATATAAGGGGTTAATTGCATTGGAGGTCGCTAAAGTATGAAGTTTGTCTTATTTTGATTTTCAATGTTTCAATTGTATTATTTTAGTTCCGAAAATATTGAATATCTATATAATAAAGTAACTAGATTATTTTTTTTGTACTTTTAGTGACTCAATTTATTTTGATTTGATGGTCCTAAATGAAAGTTCATTTTTTTTTACAACTCTAAGACCCTAATTTCTCATATAACTCTCTCTCCCTATCTCTCATACTATTATCTTTTTTTTTGTTCCCCCTATGTTATTTTTGTTATTATTTACTCCATAAAATAGATAAAAGTACATGTTATGCAATTATTTATTTTATGAAACTAATTCAATTTTTTTATATATCTAACCGCATGTATTTTACCACTTATTTCTTAATTTGTAAATATCACATAATGTAAATAAAAAAATACATTGACTATAAACACCAAATAATACTCAACACGAAATGAATCTTAAATTGTAAATTAATATATAATTTTGTGAGATTCAATCACGCATTGCACATATATTAATATAATTTTGTGGGCTAAATTATAATTATGTGAAGTATTGAAGGATTAATTAAATTAAATCTTTCATAACCATGATTTATGTGAACATACATTGGGTAGGTGGACCCTGTTAGTGATGTACGAGTGAGACCATTTATAAAAATTTCGTGTGTGAAAATATTAGTGGGTCGAGTTCGAAATCATTTAATAACTTGGGGGAAGCAAGGGTAATTAACTCATTACCTTTACAAGTGTTAACATGTTAAAAATATCTATATAATAAAACACTTTTTTGAATTTTATCCTAATCATATTTTTCCTCTCAAAATTATCACCAATCGCTTACCTCACTCATCATCCTTCTATCAAACTCAAACGTCAAGTCACATCACTGATTTCTATCACATATTTAATTATTTATATATTTTCTTCATAAAATATCACATCACTTATTTCTATTATATGTTTAATTATTTAATATTTAATTAATTTATAGTTAATATAATTTTTATTTCAAACATTAATTATATACAATAATATACACATGATGAAAAAATTTAATATAGTGGGATCGATTTTTTTGACGCTCAAATTTTATATTTTATTGTGCCTTCAAGCTCGAGTTATGACTAGCACGTATATATATATATATATATATATATATATATATATATATATATATATGTGTGTGCGTGCAAGATCCTGCACAATATATAAAAAATATCGGGAACAGGTCTCTCCCCTGGTGAACTTTGAGTGAGCCGGTTGAGTGACCAAACACGCTGCTTGAAACAGCCTGCAAGATGCGGTGGCAACCTGGAACGGCAAAGGAAGATCCTGGGAAAGGAAGATCGATCCTCTACGTATGAAAGGTTTTCCTAGAATAGAGAGGAACAAGTTAGAAGGGTGCCGGAGTGTGTTCCGGCGTATCCCCTCCGACGGTCTAGTCAGTCTTTGAATGAGAGAGAGGAAGAAGAAAACACTGAGAAAATCTGTGTTGTAGTAGAGAGTTTTCGATTGCATACCCGCTTTGCCTTTTGGGAGGAGTATTTATACCTTAAAAGCTCATGATTGCTGTCAGTGTGGTCAGTAGGTGATCATTAGGCACAGGTAGCGTGTGTATTGATTTGATGAGGAATGTCTTCTCTAATTGACTGCTCGGGGTCCCGAGCAATCAATGCTGAGTCGTCGGGACGCCGACGGTACAATATGCTCCTTTCGGGAAGGATGCAATAAATGCTCTGTGATAGGAGCATTTATTGCCTTTCATATCCGAACCTTACCGCATTGAATGCGGTCTCGTCAACAGAAGGTGCAATTAATTGTTTGCTTTCCCAAGCCATGTGTCAGTAACGGCGTGCGATTTGTCTATTTTTGATGTGATATCATATGCCACGTGTCCATCACGTATTGGCTATGACTTCTGTATTCCAGCATGTTCTGACATTACTTGTGTAAGACGAGGTCATGATGAATAGTCTAGACTGGCATAGGCTGATGTCCCGTACGTCAGTAGCTTTATCCGGGAGTAGAGGAAGCGTCCAGGACGGACTGACTCTCGGCGCCGAGGAAAGGCTCACCTCGGGGACGAGGGTGGTATGTTTCCAAGGTAAACGAAGGTGACCGAGGACACGTGTTGTTGTACAATACACCGAATGCATGATCCTATACGAGAGGTACCTCGGGGGAGAGGACACTCGTGCCGATGGTGCTTAAATCCGAGCAACACTGTTCCAGCAATCCGAGGACACGTGTCTTCATCATAGGGCTTTTCAGAAGAGTCTCATCAATATATATGTGCACCGTGTGTGTGTGAGTGTGATGTGTGTACGGGTGTGTGTTTTAAGGTGTCAAGTGTGTGTGTGTGTGTGTGTGTGTGTTTAAGATAAAAAAAAACAAAAAACAAGAGAGTTCTGGTTTTGGGCTGAAGCCGAGAGAGAGAGAGAGAGAGAGGAGAACAAGAGAGAAAAAGAAAAAAAAAAGGGAGAGAAAGAAGACGTGAGGGAAAAAATATATATATATGTGCGTGGGTCCATTTGAACCGTGAGCAAGAAACGTATAAGAATTTAAGTTTTGAGTTGTATTTAATTTTTGTATGTATGTATTTATATATGTGTGAGCTGTTTTAACACGTTTTAATTAGTAGGTTGTTTTAATTTAAATACATGAGTTGTCTTATTTTATTTCATTGGGCTGTTTTAATTCAAATTTCATGGGCTGATTTAGTTAATGTCAAAACAGATTTTGTATGAGTGTAATTAAATATATTTAGCAAAATTAACGGGATATTAAAAATAAATAGGTTCTAAATGGATATTAAAATAAAGATGAGAAAAATGTGAAAAATAGTTATTTAAGATGTTCGGTATGTTTTTGAGGGCTAGGTTGGAACCGACATTATGTGAGTAAAATGAGTGATTTAAAAATGCAATTAGGGGGGCTGATTTTCATAATTTAGTGAATGTATGAGTTTAGGTATAATTGTTTTAAAAGAAAAGTACAATAGAAATTGGAAAAGGGTGTCGGTAACGTCGAAACCCTGATTTTTAAATGTTATTATCATATGTGCGAATTTTAATTCAAATGACCTAAAATTTTGCATGTAGCATTTTTAAATATTGTTTGATATGATAATGTGACTTTTGAATGCAAATGAGCGTAATATTCAGTGCGAAACATATGAAATGCTAGAAGTATAATTTTTGAAATTCGGGGTCGAAATATGTAGAAATTGGACCCCCGATCAATATGTTTGACCTACGTAATCCTAATTGTGATTAATGTGAGTGATTTTGAGAATTTGGGGAGAAAATGTGATCCCTAGAACAAAAGTGCTAGTGTGTGAGTGGATAGGACGGTAACCGGAGTTACCGGAGCACTTTGGGGTGTATCATTTGCATACATTAGTGCATGATTAATTATTAAATTTGATAATCATTTTGATATTTTAATTACCAATGTGTTAGGTGCAACGAGTGAGACAGTTGGTATTGAAACAGGTACGGTGACACCGAAAGGATCCACTGATAGGATCGGAGAGCCGTAGATTTGTACATCTAAGATGGATGTATATCTTTATATGTTTTGAAAATGCTATTATCAGATGATAGTAAATGATAGAATTTAATAGTAATTTTTTAGGATTATGTGTTACGTGTTTATGTGATTGGATGATGTTTTTGTACTGTTTATTGTGTATTGTGGAATGTGACGCACTGTTTGAGACAAAGAGGTCGATGCCTGGTCACTGGGCGTGCAGTGATGTGCTAGCACTGTGGTGATCCCGGGAGGTTCGGGAGATACGGATCCATGTGGGATCGATTACCCAATGAGGGGTACTGTGGATGTGATGTAGCTTGTGAATTCTTTGAATTAGATTGATGTTGTTGTTTGATACGTATATCTACGTAATATCTATCTACTTCACTGTATTACTATCATTTTCATTTCATATACTGCATGTATACTCACTGAGTGCGTGGTTTAGCTCACACCCCTACATTTTCTTCTTTCAGGTACTATAGAGAAGGATGCAAACCGGTCCACTGTCCAATTGATTGAATCTTGTGAAACGTTAGTGTGATACCACTCAGGTTGAGTGTCAGTATGACTAGTCGTTGGACTGTGTATTATATTTATGAGAGATATTTATGGCAGGTTAATGGTATATATTTATAA